TGGGTGCAAGCACATATGCTTAAGGCTTGAAAGGTGGGAAACTTTCTCTAAGCCTCTTGAAGTCTGTATCCAATGCTGGTCTACACTGACACCTGCAAGGAAAAACAAGCCTGTGTTGACAAGGCTTGTCCCAGAGACGTCTTTCTCATCATTCTTCCTTCTTCTGTCTTCCAAATAGTGGGGAATTATTTCTGCCTGAATAAAACATAACACAGAATAAAGACACGCAATAAATCAAAGAACTTTTTTGGACTGCAGCTTTCGTCTTTGAAAGACAACTTAAAGACTTATCTTGCCAATTCCCAGCCAACACTTTGACATCCAATGGAAATTAAATTAATCATCATCAAAAGAAGGACGCTGTCTGTAAAAGGGGGTGTTGAAAGAGGGATGTGTTAGTAAATAGCGCCATACACAAACTCTTCTGAGTGCTGCTTGACAGAAAAATAATGAGCGAGAGGAGGAAAGTGATTAAGGATGCAGCATCCCTTATTTAACTAATCACTGGCAGAAGCAGAACAGCGTGACTCCTATGAAGACCTCAGTGCCTAGAATACACAGAAGTAAACAGGAAATGGAAATTAAGTGACAAAAATTTTGGGAAAACATAGAAAGATGCCAAAAGAATAGACAGATGTTCTTATTTATTTGTAGATATGATGTGTATGTGTATAGGTAGAGTCTAAGCCTCTTCTAAACATGTAATTTATCATATTACTGAGTTTTAAAGCCAAAAATCACATCACCTTTATTCATCTGTTTCGAGTAGTGATATTACCTTTAAGTTAGTGCACTCATCACCTGCAGGTTTGAACTAAATACTCCCTCAAGCCTCTTTTTCTTCTTCCACAAATAAGACTGCCGAGCTTGCTACCATGTAATACCACATTAGAGACTTTACACATACTTAAACATGTTACATACTTAAGAGAAGCTTTGTTCAGCATCTGTCTCTCTCTGCTACATGACTGCTGCTGTCACTGTGGCTAACCTGTCAGTTAGCTACTACGTAATGTTAAACACAAAAATGTCCCTCAAAGAGAGGTATCATTATAACGTTAACATTTACAAACATAGGCCAGCTCGAAATGAGTAAAAATATACCAAAATTTGCACAATGTTATCAGAGAAGAGATTCTGTCATTACATTTAAATCTAATCTGTGTTTGCAGTAGGAAGACACAAATACTATTGAAATTGGTGCTACATGACCAGAGAAAACAAAGGAAAAAGGCTGTGGTATTTGCTTTTGCTCAAGAGGTAGTAAACCTACAACTACCAGAATGCACTGCGTCACACCTGACCAATAAATGCTCTGCCTGGTGGGTGATGTAATCTGAGCTTGACCATTTTGATACAGGAAACAATATAGCTGCTGGCTGGTAACACATGATCTAAAATTACAGTTATACAGTAAACTTAAAAATGTTTCTTAAAACATTTTAGCTGAGGAATAGGCAACACAGAAGCAGACTTGGTTTGTATTTGATCAGCACAGCCTAGTTTTACAGTTTTATCTGAGTTTGGGGGGTGGGGGTGGGGGTGGGGGTTCTCGCTTGATCCGCCTCTATACTTTTTGTGTCTATGTTGAGGGGACAATAAAATGTAAAGTACAATCTGTGGCTCAAGCTACAGCCTTTAGGCCAGCAAAGATTGAGCTGGGAGATGGTGCTGGTAAGATAGAGGGAGTTTTACCACAGTTCATATACACATACCACCCACATAGTTATGGTACAAAGCTGGTTGGAAATCAGCAATGTATCCCTTTAAACCTCAGACGTACAATAGAATATACATAACAAGAACTCATTAACCTCCCAAAACTGTCTTGACATACCTGTCCCACAAATGCATGTAAGCGTTTGACCACAACTGTATATGAATTGTGATTTAGAATGTTTGTTCCTTTTACCAGATCTCTCACTGAGTCCCATGCATCTTCAAGCACCCACCAACATCTAAACACCACTGGGGATTCATCTCGCTCTCATCCTCTCTACTTCTAATCAATTTTGCTTCATTGAAATACCATAAATTCAGTGCAGTGTTCCAAAAGCAAACAGATGGAGAAAAAAACAGATTAATACAGTGAGGAAAACATGAAAGAAAAAAAATTAAAATATGTCAAAGAAAACACAATATGATCAAATTATTATGAAGAGAATTTTCATTATTTTCATATTGGGTCTTGCTCGGTGAGATTACATTTACACTTCGGTAAAGCTCAATTACTCTTCCAAGTGTTAAAAAAAAAAAAAAAAACTAATCACAAACTTGGCAACTTATTTTCCCAACTGTATTCCACAAAGAGCCTTCGGGCCCCGCATATTTTTAATGGATTCTTTCATTCAGTTGTAATTAAAAAAGAAAGGGTTCCTTCATTGATGATTTTGTCATCACGTAGAATACCTAGAGCTGACTGAGTAAGGTTTGTGTGCAGAACATTCCCACTTAGGTAAATACAGTATTTCCACGGTTTTTCTAACTGCAGTGTTAATTATTATCTTTCCCCCGCACCCTCAGGCTACACTCACACTGCAAGCCTTGGTGCAGTGTGAGTGTAGTCAAATAAGATTTACTGCTCAGATTGGATTTTTTAGTTTGGCTGATCACATTATTTTTTTTAAACGTGGCCAATATCAGATTCCAGGGTGAACTGGTCACAGTCCTGAACTGACCCGCATGCAATGTCACACACAGCACGCTGTTGTACGTAAGTAAACATGGAGTTAGTGTTTACAGTTTTATTTATAGGCTGATGCACAGCAGAAATTTTTAATTTGGGCTTTCTGTGTAGTAATGGCTGCTACATCTGTATGGAGGTGTGTATGGATACAGAGTCAGAGCTAGCGGTGGTGAGATTGTGACGTGAATGACCCATCACCCTGAGAAAGCGCAAAGGAGATGGGCTGTAATGGTTGGTAACATGGCCAAAATCAGAATTGCAAAGATCAGATTCCGTGTTATTTGAGATAGTCACACTGTTAAGAAAAAAACAGAATCGAGTCACATATAATAAAAAAAGATCTGGGTCACTTTTCGCCTGCAGTGTGAATGTAGCTTTAGAGGTGGAGGAGTCCACATATGCCCCCTTTCCATCAATATTAGCGCATGTACTTTAAAAATAGGTGATAGATTCTTTTCCCATTGCCACTAGACCAGAGCAGACGAGTATGCAAATTTTTTCCTCTGGTGTGTCACGTTCAGTGGGCCGGAGAACAGGTTAGTAAACAGTAGAAAGCATTACAAACGCCAGGGAAAATGTTACAGTGGTTACGACTTTTATATATTTCTTAAGCAACTTATTGAGTCCCTCTCTCAAACTCAGTGCCAACTAAATTCTGAACGAAGTTCAACTGCTGCTTCGGAGACAGACGGTATTTTGTGATGGCCAGTCACTGCATCACTCTAGCAAAGGGACTAAAATACATTCCATCTCTGCTGATCAGAGCAGATTGGAGCTGAAGCCAACTACTTCTGACCTGGAAGTAATACAGATTGTAAGCTTTCCTACAAAGTACAAAAGCCAGTTGTTAGCGGGTGTTAGTGATTTTTTTATCCAGTGGGAAGGAGCTATAGATTCACTCACTTGCTGCACCCATCATCTTCTGAGCACCAGGAAGTGTTCCTGCACTTGTTGCACTCGTGTAAAGGCTGATTTGAAAAGTATCTCTACAGTGGCTGTGCCTTTTTTAGTCCACATCCAGCACCAGGCAATCACACTAGTAACATCCTGATAATGTCATTCTAATCAAGAACATTTTCAAAGCAAGCCAATTTACATTTGAAGTGGGTGACCTTTTGTCAGGATACAGCACTGATAGATTTGATTTTGAGAATCTAGGTCTCACACAATCATTTTTGCAGCGTTAACCAAATCTTACACTCGCTAATAACCTGCAAAACACGCTTACAGTATGACATCAACTCTTAAGGATATTTTTAACCTGTGTGCTGAGGATTTAAGTAAGAAATAAATCCCAAACCTGCAAGATTCAGTGCAACGCAAGAGGTTCAAGCATCAAAGTATAAAGGCTAGGATGAATATACAGACAGATAAGAGACACTCCCCAGCCCCGTCTCAATGGTACCTGTGAGGGATTTAGGGGTGCAGTCCTTTCCTCCGTGGGGACCTGATCCAGTGCCACTTACAGAACCCTCGTAGCTAATGCAGTCATAACAAAGCAGAGCTGTTCAAGGATGAAAAAGAAAAAATATAAAGAGAAAAGGGGCGATGAAAAATAGTCATGGGTTGCTGATTTTCTTTCAAAATATCACTTAAAAGGCTTGGCATTTTTTTTTGTCTTAAATTTGGGGTGCATTATCTAGATTCCAAAGCCGTATTCTTTCCAGGAACAGCCCTGTTTGATGTTATGGCTGTGTTAGCCGTGCTGAAGCTCTCAAACCACAGCGACTACCTGCACCTACATGCACCTGCAAAACCATTCATGCCCCTCTGAGTAGCATAAGTATCATCTTAGCTTAAACAGGCAGCAGTTGGATCAAAACAGCAAACAGTAGACTGGACACCTGCAAGTGAACTTAGCGGGTGCTTTAACAGAGGAGGAAAAAAAAAAGTGTTAACAGGGTTCAAAGCAGCAGCAGGAACACAAGCCTCACAACCTGACAGAAGCCAAAATCAGATATGTTAGAGCTGGAAGAACAGACACCTGAGTTAGTTAGGGAGAAGATAAACAGTTTCAGATTGCATTGTGTTAAAAGCTTGAAATTTAAATAAGGCAACCGTTAAAGAAATGCAGTCATTTGTTAACTGGATTCGTTTACATGGTCTAATTCAGTGTTTAAGCTTTTGACATCAAGACTAACAGTATGTAAAAGAAGAGCTAAAAGCCTTTGCATTTGGATGAGGAAAGCTTGTTTTCTGTCTGTTACAAGAACACTTGTACTTTGTCTACAAAGGTCCTTTTATTCTATGAAGTATGATACTGACATGTTTTAGCTACTTGTGTCATATATTATGTTGGTGGTTACTGTCGTACCTGCAAAGGCTTTGGAAATCCTCTCTTTCTTCCACTCCCAGGGCTGGTCATACTCCTCAGGGGGTCGCTCATCATCTTGCGGCAGCCGGCTTTCTCTGGGGCAGCGCAAGCGCTCAGGGTCCGAGTCGCCGCCATTCTCGGCTGGCTCATACGGCGTGTCGTACAGGGGCAGCTGCCTCGCCGGTCCTTCCTTAGGTCCTCGCCCACCGGATCGTATTTCTACAAACGAGGAGAAAGACTGGTCGTTAATGCTGGGGTTCTGTAATAAAACTTTATAGGAGAAAACGGCTCCGTGGGGTGGAACACCGTCAGCATATGAGAAATGAGGATTTATGACAGCACATGCACTTACAAAACACTAAGGCAACACATTTTGTGAGGCCTTGCACATTTCTTGTATAGCATGTGATGAATGTGTGGTGATATTTCAACAGATTTGAGTGGGAGACAAGATTCGCCTCATATTCACAGTTTCAGCTACTTGCGTCCTTGTTGTTATATTGCTGAATTCACAGCCAATGACAGTTTTCAGGCTAAAGGGCACTAATAGCATTGCCTATCAGGCTAAAGAGTTTATTTACTTTGCTGTACTTTAAAATGAGAAAGCAACTGCAAGCCAAACAACCCTGTCAGCTGTTATGGCTGGTGATGAGAAAATTCTGGACACTGTAGAATAATCAGACAATAGGCAACCTACTAAATTGCTAAAGTTCTTGTGCTGAGCAAACATTGTCCAAAGAAGTTGTGCAGAAGTTGCACTGCCTCACTGAAAAAGTTAGCGTGACCTCGGACCTCAAATTTCTATCGTTTGAAGTAGCTTGATGCATTGCAGTCAAATTGTAGCCATCCTGAGCACACTAACAACAGTAAGCGAGGCACTGCAAGACTTATTTATGGCATAAGATGGCAACAGAATGGGTGCTGAGTTCACAGGCCTCTCAGTAACGTTTGAGTATGCCGGGAATCTCTCACTCTTTTTTATCTCAAGTGTAAATCCACCTCCAACGATGGTCAGGGTGAAATAATCTGCATGTTGATAGGATGTGTGATTGGCATAGTAGGGGCCTCTTAGATGTAGCGACAGTTTGCTGTTGCTGAACTGATGACAGAAGTGGGAAGCAGAAGAGTGTTGAAATAGAGAAGAGTGGTAAAGAGGGGGGCCTGGGGGGCTGAGCACCTGCGAAAGCACACCATGTAAACTCTGGCAAAATCACACAACAGTTCTAAGCAGCCTTGCCTCGGGCTGCACATGCCTGCTCTGTCAGAACAGAGGTGAAGAGAAGGCATCAATTTCCTTCCTCAACTTGTTCCTTCTATGACCCCCACTTCGCCCCCCACCAAAAAACTACGAACACTGTGCTCATATTTAATGTCTCTTTCAAACCAGTAGCCTGTGAATGCACATTTATCCCTGCAATGTTTATAGTATTATTATTAAAATATTATTAATATTCTCACATACAGCCCCACACACCCACAGATTTCCTCTTAACTTTGTTAATATTCTGGCTTGTGATCTATGATACACCACAAAGTGAATTCACAAAAGCTTTTGCAGCTGCTAAACCTGCACAAATAAGACAAAAAAGAAACTGTGTAATTCCCAAAGCACCTGCAAAGAGTGAAATGCACCCCTAACTGTGCTGCCAAGCAAATAGCGTCTTGGTGCGTCTGTGCTATTTGCACGTATTTAAATCAGGTAATGTGCATATATTTGGTACCATTTTGCCCCCTTTCTGTGCAAATGAGCCTCAATGCAAAACTGTCCAATTCACAAAGATTAGCGTTAATAGCCACATGCAGTTACAGTGAAATTATTAGGGTCTTCAGAGAGCTGGTGCTAACTGTAGTGCATTTATATGGGTTGTTACACCTAGACTTTCCAGTAATCTTGATAGCACTGACAGACTGGGATATATAATCCTAAACACAGTTTCTCTGTCATGTTTAAATTGCTTGCCTGAAGTTCTGAGGAATGCCTCTACACCTTGTTGGTCAGGACCTGTAGCTGCAATCTGAAAATATTATTTTTCTTTCTTTCTGCCAAGGCAACATTTATAATTTGTCACATGGATAACTGCTATCAGATGCCAAAAAAGGGCAAACTTTGTGGGCGTGTTTGTGCTATAATATCATTAGGGCAGTATCATTTGTGAGCTGAACCTTCAGATGGGGGAAGACAGCAGTTGTAAGAGATGCACAGTTCATAGTTCTATCAGTGGCCGCAATCCATTCTTTGTGATTTCACCCCTGAGTATCGTTATGCTTTGTATTTATTAAAATCTGTTTTTTTCCTTCTAAACGATGTGTGCAAAGTAACTAAACTCTACATCTAAAAACCCAGTAGTATTCCTACAGGCTACAATTTTTATTACAACCAAACATAACACTAAAGTGTTTGGAAAAACAAACAATATACTGGTGACTTTGGCATTCTCAGCGCCTCAGCAGTGGTGGGGCTAAAATGTTTTACCCTGAGGGTGCTGTTAGAAAAAGGGCCTTCCTCCTGGCAATCTGTGCAATTGTTGTCGAAATGTCATACTCTGGACTAAAGTGTTGTTTGGGCTGACAGATCAACAGACCAGCTGACTGACCACCAACCAGCATATTAAACCCTGTCAAATCCCAAAAGATGGACATTTTTTACATGTCTTTACAAACCTGAGGTGGAGGTAGGAGAGTGCCTCTACAGCACAAAAAAAAAGATAGCTTCTCAACAGCTTGAAGTACGACCTCTCAGCAGCGTGTGCCACTCAACCAAAGATGGAGTGCGGGAGAGGACTCGCAGTGCCAGAAAAGAAATTGTTGGACCAAAAGAGCTGCTAGTCTCTAAATGGGGTGTAGATTCATGGTGATTAGGTAAAAACAAATCAGGGCAAAATGGCCTTTACTATGTGCAATTTTCACACAATGCAGAAATGGACCGACATGTTTTGAACCTTGGTATAGCTGCTCCTCAGTGCGTGCACCAGTAAACACTTCCTGCAACATTTCCACATCTTGTCTGTTGTTGGATTTTTAAGTGTCCACACATTCTTCTGTATATATATAAAGTCATGAATAAGACAGACACTGCCTTGAAGGATGCCTGGACGCAGTATGAGATATTTAATCTCATACAGCGGCCAAGCTTATCTCAAACATTTCAAAGAGGCTGTGAAAATTTTGCATTTCTGAGAAATATAAAGTAAAGCAGCACAGCTTTTAAAAACCATTTTAACATTTCAAACTGTTGCCTGATATGACTTTCTGCATATAAATTTTGTGTGTAAGGTTTAAAATCATGAATCTAGTGTGCACATATTCATGTTTTTGTTTTTGCATTCATGCTGTAAATCTTCCTAAAATCACCTGACCTAAACTAGGATGCATGCATGCAAACCCTTTTATTCTTCATGTAAGAAGGTGAAACAGACCTGACTCTTAATGAAGCATCGTGCCCTTGAGAACTCTCCTCTTCTCCCTTTTGCTCTCCCCTCCTCCTCCTCTGCCTCCCCTCTCCAATCTCCCTCTACTCATATGAAGTTGTTAGCAGCCTGCACCCTTCCTCCTGGGCCACATGAAGCTGTTAGTGGCCAGCACCACCATAGAGTAATGCGATGTGAAGAGAATGAAATATTATGCCATACTACTGCATAATTGCCTCTTAGCCCAAGGGAGCTCTTGCGGAAAAATGAGCAATGCGTTGAGCCTAATGGAGCTACCCGCCGGTGGTGGTGGGAGCGGAGGGGTGGAGTGAGGTGAGGCTGCCAGGTCCCGTATCGCAGCATAATCCCGCATTAGGCAAACTCGCACTCTTTGATCTAGCAGTTAAAAGACTTGGTATTACGAGATCCTGGCATGATTAGGTCCTACCTCCCCTGCAGAAGTACAAATAGCTCTGAAAGAGGGTGAAAAAGGCAAAAGGAGGCTGCCAGAGGAGGTAAAAATGAGAGTGGGATGGGAGGACGGTGTTACTGGTGGGGTGGAGAGTAAATCTTGTGGGAAGAACCCTTTAATTGGAGGCACGCTGCCTTCGATAAACTGCTGCGGTGGATTGAGACTCCCTGCTTGCTCCCAGAAATGAGGCCTTGTGTGTGCAGACGGGAGCCCTGTTGACCGTCTTCCCCACTATCTTTCATAACTTCTTTCTTCCTTTCAGCCTCCCTTCTTTCCTTGTTTCCTTTAATCCTTCACTCTTTTCTTTCTCTCTGTCAGCTCCTGTTGAGGCATGCTTAGTAAGCTGGGTGGGGACACATCTGTCTAGGCAAATTACAGTGATTGGCATGACAGTGGGGTTGCATGTTGCAACACAGCTGCAGTCTATCTTCTGTCCTTGACCTCTCTGCTCTGTTTAGGGTCAGAGGTCAGCCACCACACCCTCCCTTGATGTACCCTGTACCTTCCCCTCCCCGGATGTCAGAGTTCCTGTCCAAATGCTGCACTTCCTGTCCTCGGCTTTTTGCTCCTCACTAACCCCTACATTCATACCCCCGAAAAGTTTGCAATATTTGATTTATTTTACCAGTACTTTATAAGATAAGGAAGAGGAGAAATTTCAAGATCATTTGTGCAATTGGAGAGGAATGAGCTGTTGCTCCAAAGTTTTGAGTGCTACAAGTATTTTAAGAAACAATTAAACATCTAGAAAGTGTGCCACACTCAACAGGGTTTCAGCAGTCATGTAGCGGCAGCAGCAGCACTGACCACAACCATCTGTTTAGTGCCACTAAAAACGTAGAGCAGAGCATACTGCTGAGAACCAAACAGCTGCATTCAAGCTATGAACCATTTTTCCCTAATGAGAAAAGACACGGCTACTGACTCAGCTGTAAAGTACCAGTCAGTTGAATGTAGGTTCCCACATGCGAGATAAAAATCAGAAACAGTGAGAAGTGCTCAGCTTTCAAACAAGTAACAGATCCAGTCCTTGTTATCATTTTCTTCTTTGGTTCATGAACTAGAGAGATTAATCCTATGGGAGAGAGAATGTGTTCCTTGCGATGAATTCAGGGAGGCTGCTGTTCCACATACTACAATAGCAGCCCTCTGGGCATATTATCATGGCAGTGCATGGGCAGGCAGAGAGCTCTGGATTAAATCAAAAAACATTAACTGCAACCAACCTGGCAGCCGCATCCTGCTGCAAAAAAAGGACTGACCGAGACGTCTAGCCCTCATCGTCCAGACCACTCTCATCTTACTTGCCCTCCTCCATTATTGCCAACCAGTAAAAGTAA